GAAAGGCTTATTTATGGATAAGGGGCTTATTTATTTTGGTACTGGCTTTGAATTGAGAGAATGGCAAAGTGTTTTAAATGGAGTTAACGACTATTTCTTTTGGAGGAAGGAGTCCGGTTACGCTTCTCGTTCAATGGAGCGTCACACATCGCCAGGCATTAAGTTACACATAACACATCCAACTAATGGGCTTTTTGCAAAATCTTTCACCAGACTGCTTAATTTGCCCGCCAAGCTGTATTCAACCAGTAGTTAGTCAGCTGTGCGATGAAGACCTTAAATAGTCAGAGTTACTGTCAATTTTTTGGTTGAATGGAATAACACAGAGAAAGCTGACCAGTCAGCTACAAAGAGTCTTAACATAAGTCAATAAATAAGCTCACTTATAAGCCGGACCCCACGCAGCTGTGGTAAGCAGCGGCAGAAAACGTGTATGAGTTCCTAGCTAGTACCTCTACAATGCCAGGATGGTGAATAATTAAATAGATTTTAATTCTGACTGCCTGATGACTACTTGCGAATATTACGTGGAAACCTCGCAGTGGCTAATGAACTTTGGCCAAAATATATGAAATTTCGATCAATACTTGTAGACCCTTGAATATACTAATTCATTCCGAGTTGGAAAATATTTTCCGAGAAAATTGAAAAACTGAAGCACTTTCAAATTTCTTACATAATAGACCACCTGCAAATTCTCGCAATAAGGATATGTTGTAGCAATATTTGAATTGTTGAGTACCATTTATCATTACAAAAGTTCATTAGCTTAGGCTTGTCATAATAAACTAGCATTTGCGCTGTGTTTTTTTAAAGTACAATTTGAAGGCCAACTATCGTCCTGGACAAAATAAACCCCCTAAATAAGCACTGCAAAGAGGGAAGGGAGTAGGCAGGAGCCCCGTGATTCAAAAGAAATGTTGATGTATATTACTAACTGCCACAGAGTAGACAAAAATCGACTAAAACCCCACTTACGCGAACTTCGAACACAATTTCACCAACTTTCACGCCACTTTCAATATTCCATAAGCAGATATTTCCCTCAGTATCGGCACTCTAGAAGAAATTAGAAAGCGGGGTAATTGGATACTAATATGAGGTTATATATTACAAATGGTGCTTCAAAAAATTATGGATGGAGACTCGAGGTTTAAATAACATGAAAACTATGGTTCTAAAGTACCTTACGCAGATTTAAATACGGAAAAGTTGACTCGTTCTCCAGATGCGTAGGAAATGTTTACGTAAACTGAACTGAATAGTTGACTGGCTGCGGTCTCTGGTATAAATAGTGTGTGCATATGCTTAGATAACTCTGAGAATCCTCTTAGAATAACCGAATACAAAAGGCTGAAAGGGGCAGAAGACTTTTTCGGTACAGCCCGATTAAAAGTTATAAGTTTTGAAAACAGAAAAAAGGCAGTAGTTAATGAAACTTTACTCGTGGCAACCTGTCAAGAGTTCCTTAAGTATTTTCTTCTTTACGTTCCGAGTGAGCTCTACTGGACCTAAAATGCGGCCACACTTGAGTGATTTAGAAAGAAATCTACCAAATGAATATAGAATAGGCCGGCTTCGGAGAGCGGCTTTTATATACTGCTTACATTTGTGCGCAGTTTAAAGACTGTTGGAACATACCACGCAAAAAACTTCGTTTTTGACATTGACTATACCGACTCCCACGAAGGGATTATGACAGCCCATGACACTTTTTTGGAGGGCGACCTGCTGAAGAACTCCGTCCATCCTTAGCATTTTGTAGATGTACAATCCACCATTGTCTCGAACGACCAGCATTTTATTGAAGGTCGGGGACATGGCAATGTGGGTGATGGGGAAGGGGTCAATGACATCCATATATTCATCGAGTGTATCCAAATGTGCATGCATTAAGTGACCCAATAGCGTCACAAAGGAGGACCCAGGCGGCAGTAAAGTCGCAGTCTGTCGGTTTGGCGCTACAAGACCCACGACTGTACTAGAATCAGTTTCTTGGTCGGGTTGAAGATTAAGCAAGTGAAGTTCGCCACCTCTGCCACCAGTCACGAGACCATCCGTTGTGTAAACCATCGATTCCAAATCAAATTCTGAGAAACCACTCCTCGGGGGGTCGTTGTTGATCGTGTCTGCGTACTCGGCCAGTCCGGAAGCAGGCAAAGTTGGGTTGTAGGCCACACCCATGGCAATTGTGTCTGGGTCAACCTATGCAAGGAGCCGGTCAAATTATTCATTTAAACAGAGTTAAATCTACCAAGACAATGTGTCCGTTGACGCCACCTAGAATAACATATCCTTGCTTAGACCAAGTCATCGAAACTGTTTTGATACGGGGTTTGAAATCACAAAATTCTTCATATTCCTCTGTTGACTTTCCTGTTAAACCTGTAGTAGGGCTCGACGACCACATAAACTCTGATTTTTACCTGCGACCGTGTCTGGTGGGATTTTGTGCACAGCGGGTGTCTCATCTGGACCAATTAAGTCCGGATTCAAGTGGGATTCAGGTTCCACATAGAGGCCAAGGGGTGCATCTTCGTGTGGCAAACGAGTGCGCCTACAGATTCAGGAAAAATAAATATATCCCTAATAAAACACTACTGACTAATAGTAAGTACATGAAACAGACCAAGTTTTGGAGGTAGACTCACGCGCATTTCACATAGCTCAGTTTATCACAGCGTTCCAGTTTCCACACATATAGTTGACGAGTTGAAACGCCAACAATAATGTCAGCATTAATTGGCGAAAAAGATAGAAGAGAAGGCACCCGCGAGTTAAGCGGGGCTTGGCATAACTGGAGACCGGCTCTAAAGTCCCTAAAAGAATTTGGATAAGAAACGGCAAAAAACGGCTACCAAATAGTGAGTACGCTTCTGGGGATAGAGGAGATACAAGCAAGTAAATTGCTATGAGAAAATTTCAGATGGACGACTTCAATACTTCCAGTGTCTAGCAGAAGTGGTTAGCAATCAGTTAGACCGGTTCCAAGGGTCAGAACTTACCCCCAATCAATTTACGTTCAAAGGCAGGATAAGTAATCAAGAAAACTTTGGCATATTTAACATCAGTTTCTGCTAAGGCGAACACAGGTTCCAAAGGATGGACAGCCAAGATTAACTGTGCATTGTTCTGGTGAATGTAGGTCGTGTTTGCAGCTTTCTCGTGAATGAAGCGAACGGTTTTGCCAGCTTTCACGCATATAGTATGCTGGTTTATGAAGCAGGCCTGCTTGTCCGAATTTCCCTGAATCCATCTGAAATAATATATGAGAGAGGCTTGAATATTGGTTAGCATAGTAGGCATCTTCCTCCTTTCCAACAATTATTTCGTTTTCTTCCTGCGCCTTTACACAATTATCTCAATCACCATCGGTACCATCGTAACCGCTATGACTCACGATTTGGCTTGTTATAAGTAGAAGCAATTAGCAAAATTAACCTATAAAACGATAGAATAATGAGACAAACGAGTAAATTTTAATACGCAGTTGACAGAAGTGCTTAGAATCATTAAAGGATGAGATGCGATGGAGTAGGCATGAGTTCGAAAGCTCGACCGGTCTTGATTTCTCACGTAGAATCTGCAGTCCTTAAATATAAAGCAGTTGCATTATAACCTGCGTGCTGAAATGTTTTTGATGTAGATAACACTAGGCAAAGCCAAAATAAAATGGTTTATTACGGCACGTTGGGGTACCCAGATAGCCTATATTTCTATATTGCATTATTACAAGACAATCAAGTCGACTGATATCAATGTTCCAATGCAGTTCTGCCCTCTTGGGGGACAGTCGATTAGGGAGCTTTTTCATTTTTAAAGATTGCATTTAACAGTGCTAACGTTCTAACCTACTTTTTAACATCCCAAGTTACTTAAAAACCTCTTCTGATACAGCACGATTACGATCAGTGGCTGCACTTCGATCATGAAGTCAACCATAAGAACAACTGGTTCATTTGGCGCAACAAAAGAAATAGTGATTCGAAATGTGCATACAGGCATCACAACAATAACGATCAGTTATTTTATATCCGATAAATTAAGAGACTCTATACAGAATATGACAAGATCTATCCTCTCAATTCAAGTATTAAGTACTAAATTAAATGCTAATGGTAATTAGCACATATGCTTTCTTGACCCTAAGTTGACACGTACAAAAAGTGAAGTTTGAACGGCAGATGTAATGCGTAAATGCTCCGGCCTTAAACTGAATAAGAGCAGACGGTTAAATTCCATTTAGTACGTTTTTCCTGATTATCCAATCTAGCTGAAGAACCCAACTACTAGACGCATTTAAGAGAGTGATTTTAGTCATTTAGTACATCTTTAAATAAGCATGGAGAAGTTCCTTCGCGGAAATCTATTATTTACTCTGTTACATGCAATTTGCCTGTAAAATCAACGTAATATTCCTCGGTGGCAATCTTTATGTTCCTCCCAAATAAAAGCTTTAACCATCAAGAGGTAAATTATATCTAGCAAATATCGTAAGTTTAATGAGAATGCGTAATAAAAAGTTTGTTACTGACGATGATGGAGACGCCGTTAGCAAGGAGGTTAAGCGGACAGTCAGCATGTTAAAGATGACATCAAAGGATATTGGAGTAATTTCTCACTAGTCACACTTTATGAGAAAGCGTTTGAGGCACCGCTTTTTATTAACTCCTGCTTATATCAGCCTTTCTCAAAGCTGATAAGGTTGTCACCTATGAGCCGTACAAACAATATATTTGCCCTAATTAGAAAAAAATCTGCTCTGTAGTCATTAGTCCCACTATGTCTATAGGTAGAACTTATAGTTCGGGAGCGTTTACTCTGGTATTATACTAGATTCGCGGATAGAATATGAGACAGAATATCTACTTACGGTCCGGGTGTCGCCAACGCGATTCTAATCGGTGCTGCGATATATGAAATTACTACAAGTATTTATTTTAACTGGTGCCTAAGACCTGTTCTAAGAACAATCGGGTGGATCCTCCCCATCCAAAGCTGGTTTCACGTTCAAATCGAGCACAATTTATTTTCACTTTGTAGAACATCAGCTGGCTCTAATTCAGAATGTAGAAAAATAAACGAACCCCCATGTCTTATAGCAATATGCGAATAAGAGTTTCTATTTAGTAAAGATATAGATTATATTCTGGCTTCCTTCGTTAGTTGCAGGTTGGGGAAAGATCTTGATGACCTATGTTGCTTGACATAGGCAGAAAATAAAAATATATATATATATAGAAAAGAATAAAAATAGGTATGACTTGATTTAAAGTTTTTTCGTCGATTACTGTTCTAAGTGTAAAATGTGAAAATGTCTTTGACCAGTAAACCTACTGACTAAAAAATACTAGCAAAGCAAATATCCTCTCTGCGCGGGTTAGATTCGCATGAAATATATCAGTTGGAAAATATTTACATAATATTCCGTCTATTCTGAAATAGGCGGCTCTGTATACAAGAAAACAAAATTTGCCATCTATTGGATATGGAAATTATTCTGTTTTTCTTGAAAACTCAAATTCACAGCCCTTGTTTTTACGTATAATATTGAGTTATACAAGCAGTCAAAGGATAAATAATGCAGGCACCATCTAATGTACCCTTTTGGATACTTATTTATTTGTCTTAAATAATAATCTTGATAAATCCTTGCTAACGTCATTGAGCTACCGTTATTTATCTTAGACAAATCCAAGCAGCTCCTAGATGTGCCTTAAGGTATGCAAATAATCTAGGTCTGTAACCGTTTAAATATTCGAGTTACCGATAATCCATGGGGTCAAACATGGTTGTAAATCTTTTGATAAATGAACTGCAAATGGATAGAATTGAATCGGTAACGATGTGCGACAGTTTTATGCTATTTCGGAGAAATGAATGGAGCAATTATGCAGAATTTTCTATCGAAAGTTAGTGTAATTAGTGGTATTATTTAGCACTACTGAAAGTTATAGATGTAATTTCTTGCAAATGTAGGAAAAATACACCACTGAGTGACTCTATAAAGTGCAGTTTGACACGAGAGATTTATAGTGCGAGTGTGGCACCAAGCGAGAACGGCGGGACTCAGACACCCAAAAAGGCAGTCACAACATAGTTCACCGTATGTGTGTTCACAGTTGGATAAGGCCTTCATGGCCTTCTTCGGCATGAGTGCTACCGTTTAGTTAGAATAATGTCAGCAGTCTGAATACATGTGTTTGTTAACCATATTTCTATAGTGATCGTACAATTAAATTCACTTGCGTCCCATATAATAAACAAATAGCTAAGTTCAAGTTAAATCGCCAATAAATGGGCAATACTTTGCTGAAGTACATAAATAATCTTGAGTTTATTATAAAATTCACACGAGAACTGAAAACGCACATGGGATCCATGTTCAATTTAGGGACATTTACTATAGAAACGTTAAGGTCAACTCATATTGGCATCATTTCAAACACGCAGCGCGCTAGAACAAGAATCGTTTATGTAATTGCATAATGCTGAATAACCTCATTACTTTTTATGGACTTTTTTGATGGAAAACCCAAGAGCTGCATAGATAAGATAAATCGAGGAAAATGTGCTGTCGGATATCAAGTAGAATAATTGTAATGACTGATAAACTGCAAAAATAGTTCTGTGCAAAATAGCCAGAAGGAACAGGGAAACCGTGAAGAAAACGAGGAAACGTCAGCCAAAGCAACATAATATGCAGCACAGTCTATGAATTTCTTCTGCCTTTTAACAACAGTAAGATGGTAGTCATTCAAGGAATGTCGTCTATGGATAAAACGGTGAATCCACAGGATAATTTGATTTTTCTTGCCATATGACCACATTTTTTGCATAAAAAACCCATGTGACATAATTATCAGATTAGAGTGGAGTTTGCCAAGAAGGCTGAAAACTTACGAGAGCACAGTCTAATGGTCTGCAGACAATGAATGAGCTCCTATTAGGTTTTATGTGTGTGAAAAACTTAGGACCTATGTTGCAATGTTGAACTGGAGAAAAGTCAATAATAGCTCGCAAAGTCCAATTGAATTGCTATCAATAACCGCGATGGAAAAATGGGACGGTTGGCAGGTGGCTAACAGCTGTGGTATTGTAAGGCTTTGATATTTACCCAAATGAGAAAACCTGTTTAATTCAGTATATATAATGGAAATAGGCAGAGCCATTGAAAACCCTACTTACAGATTGGTGCTGTCAAATCATGCATTTGTTCCAATGCCATATATGTACACTAGATAAATCGTTGTTGTCTACAAACTGTATGACCAG